AGCCATGAAAGGAGCTAGTGCAATAGGGAAAGCCGATTATTGTTCAACTTCCAGAGTAATGTAAAGGTATGTTGAGGAAGGAAAAGAAATGACAAAGGATGTTTGAAATTAGTGACCCTCATCAGAAGAGGGTTCGTGAGAAGAGCTGAGAAGTTCTTAGTGGAAAATACACAGCATCATAAAGATAGAGAAGAGCAGAAGAGATGCTGATGAGAGGTTGAAAAGTCTGACAAGGATGAAAATGAGAGGGATGAAGGGCCTAGGAGGAGGGTGTCCAAAGAGAAGGGGGGTGACTCTCAGGAACGGCTGACTTGAGTGACTATACCCAAGCAGGTTTAAATGTACAACTGACGGTAGTTTTAATGTCAGGCACAGGGTTCAAACCAAGCAAAAGAAAGATAGATAAATGTGTGTAGTGTTTTTCATTAAAGCTTGAGTAAGAGCTGCATGAAGCTGGGCTGAAGTTGCCTCAGAAGTGAGAGAAAAAGTTCTCAGTATGTTTAATTCAAATATTTAAAAGGGCAATGAATAAGGCTGGTTTGAATATCAGAGCGCAGGGAAAAAATATAGAAAAAATAAAGTATGCCATTTAAAATAAGAATAAAGCTGTTGAAAGCTTGGCTAAAGAGGGAACCAAGTTAAAAGAAATGGTAGGCAACAAGTGCCCAAGAAAGACATGAGAGAAACAGTTCTCAGTGCATTTAGTGCAATCAAGGACAAACAATTATATGAATAACTTGTTTGAATATTAGAATGCAATCCAGCATTATGTTTTGGGGAAGAAATATTGAAAAAACGAAGGAAGTCAATCCATTTAGAGCAATAATAATGATATTAAAGGCTTGGTTACAGAGGTAACCAAGTTACAAGAAATGACAGTCAACAAGTGTACAGGAAAGATGAATTTTTAAAGCTACAGTCCATCATTTGTAATTTGTGCATTTTGTTCGTTTGAAGCAACAATAGCGCTCAAAATCTAGAGAAGGATACTGAGCAACTAACCTGATGAAGTTTCAGTTAAGCTTCAGCTGTACATTCCGAGAAAAACAGCATTCTAAGATCTCAATTTCAAATCAAAAGTTACTGAATCATGTTTTGAATTGTTTTGAATTGCAGCTATACGCGACGTCGCGCACTGATCCGACGAATTATAACAACCGCGCGCGCGTGTGCGTCGTTCCAATACTTGTGCGCGCTGCACAAAACAAACTACTAATTTAAATTTTCCTACGGTGCTTCTTAAGAATCACCGTTGGAAATGCCTTCTTTCGTTGATTACTTCAACATGACAGCTTCCCAGAAAGAATAATTTCACAGGGAGTTTAGTTCCCTTACTATCTTTCAACCAAGTTTGTTTTTCAACAATAATTACGCCAGTTACTTTTCGGATGGCTGCAAATGATGGACTCTAGCTTTAAACAGCATTTTGAAACAACTTCAATAAAAGCTACATTGTAGCTTGGATAGGGGATACATAACAAGTGCCATAGAAAAATGCTGAATATTGTTCAACTTTCACAGTAATGTATGTTGAGGAAAGGAAAGGAAAAGAAAAGACAAAGGATGTATGAGAATAGTGAGCCTCATCAGAAGAGGGATTGTGAGAAGCGCTGAAATTCTTAGTGGAAAATACAAAGTATCATAAAGATATAGAAGAGCAGAAGGGATGCTGATGAGAGGTTGAAAAGTCTAACAAGGATGAAAATGATCAAAGAGGATGTTCAAAGGGAGGGGGGGGGGATTGACTCTCAGGAACAGCTGACTTGAGTGACTACCCAAGCAGCTCACATTAACATGACTGCCACAATGTGACCCACCATTAACATTCACAAAAATAGTTATGTGCACAAGACCGACAAATTACGCGATCGCCCCTACTAACGGCCCGAGTTGAAGGGACTTTGCAATCAACGGAATGCTCCATGTACTTGGTTGACCAAGTCTGTGGATGCAGCAATGAAGTCTTATGGCTGTACATCACATATTGAGGTAATCACTTTTGTCATTGTTTTATGTTGATTCCAAAGTCTTTAACCCTAACCCACCTCACTCCTCCAAAATCCTCCTGGCGGTTTTGGAGGATTCTAGAGGATTGAGGATGAATGGTGATTGAATCAAATGAGGATTCTGGAGGATTGAGGATGAATGGTGATTGAAGCACATGAGGATTTTGGAGGATTGAGGATGAATGGTGAATGAAGCACAAGAGGATTTTGGAGGATTGAGGATGAATGCATTTTGAGGCAGGACTGTCTGATGATTTTGAAGGATTTGGCGTTGGTTATCCTTCATTTAAACATGAGTGCAAAGTTTTGGGATGAGGAGGATTTTGGAGGATTGAGGATGCATGCATTTTGAGGCAGGACTGTCTGACAATTTTGAAAAATTTAGGCGGAGTTGAAAAATTTTGGAGGATTTTGGAGGATTGAGGATGGTTGTAAGCAACAAGGGCCTAGGGGGTTAGGGTTAAAGCTTTCAATCCACATTTTTGTGATCCACGCGAACAAAGTCCCTTTGTGTCTAGAGAAGAGCTATAAGATCTTTAATTAAGACCAACCTTTGACTTTAAGAAAACCACACCATTTGGCTGTTCTCCTGTACATGTTTTCTTTTGTGAGAGTTCCCCCGGCCTGATTGAGACACCCTTCGATTCAGACAAGTTCAGCAAAAAGTTTGAAGAGGTAAAATCGGCAGAGAATTTCTGGAACAGTTACATTTGATAAAGGTCAATGGGTTGGGCTTATTATGATGCCAGATATATGCCAGTGAAAGAACTGTATATGTGTACATGTAGATGAACCAGATTTGTAAACTCATGCAGAGAAAATATCAGAAGAGAATTGTTTAGACAAAGGTGCAGCAACAAAAGGTAGTGGGGTTTGGCTCAGCTTTTTGGTGTTGTATGGCCTTGACGGTAAGATGAAGGAAAGACAGTCAGGTAACTTGGAAGACATAGCTTCAACACAAACTTAAATTAAGTTGAGAAAGAAAGAAAGACTAGAAACAATGGAAAGGTAATCAAGTTTGAGTAACTTATAGTTTTGAGTGAAAAATGTCACAGCTACATGCAGCTTTGCAAAGGTTGTGTTAACCATCAAAGGAAGGCAGGAAGAACTGAGCTCATGTGAGAAATATTGCAGGAAATCAACTTATTTTATCTTCAATTAGGGGTCTCTCCAATGAAAAATATTTGGAAAGATTTGACAAGTGATAAATCACTTAAAAGGGAAAAACAGGTGTAACTCGTAAGCCATGTTATGGCAAATCCTGAACCATATTGGCACAATTCACAAACATATATACATATCTGATCCTCCTGGCGGTTTTGGAGGATTGATGAGGATTGAGGATGAATGGTGTTTGAGAAACATAAGGATTTTTGAGGATTGAGGATGAATGGTGTTGAAGCACAAGAGGATTTTTGGAGGATTAAGGATGAATGGTTTTTGAGAAACATAAGGATTTTTGAGGATTGAGGATGAATGGTGTTGAAGCACATGAGGATTTTGGAGGATTGAGGATGAATGGTGTTTGAGAAACATATGAGGATTTTGAGGATTGGGGTTGAATGGTGTTGAAGCACATCAGAATTTTGGAGGATTGAGGATGAATGGTGTTTGAGACACATGAGGATTTTGGAGGATTGAGGATGAATGGTGTTTGAGACACATGAGGATTTTGGAGGATTGAGGATGAATGGTGTTTGAGAAACATGAGGATTTTGGAGGATTGAGGATGAATGGTGTTTGAGAAGAGGATTTTGGAGGATTGAGGATGAATGGTGTTTAAAGAGGAGGAGGATTTTGGAGGATTGAGGATGAATGCATTTTGAGAGACGCGCAGAACTGTCTGACGATTTTGAAGGATTGAGGCGCTGGGTATCCTTCATTTGAATGTAAGTGCAAAATTTTGGAGGATTGAGGAGGATTGAAAATGGTTCCTAGCAAAAAGGGCCTAGGGGTGAGGGTTCAATTGTTCACCACACTTACTTCCCCCCCCCCCCCCAAGAGTATCAAGGTTTCATAAACAAGAACAAATTCCACTCCATTATATGTCAAATGATCAATGTGGAATTTCATAGCAAAAAAAAAAAAAACCCAACAAAAACCCAATCCCGGACAAGTTTCCTATTTCCAATAACAAATTCTTTCTCCACCAACTACAGGGATTGAAATGTGTTGTCAAATATTTGAAGTTTCACTTTTTGCCAACAATTTAACAAATGTTAACTTGCCCCCAATAGTGTTCAAATTGATAATACAAACGTTGCAAATTGTTTACCACTTCAACCAACCACAAGACAAGTTTTCCGTGATTTAAAAAAAAGCATTGAGCATATATTTCACTTTCAAAATGAAAAAGATTTCAGGTCCACATTTACATTGTGCTCAAGTAATAAAACCAATTTAATCACAATCTTCTATTACCACCAAAGAGCAATTATGTGTGTACTATTAGAGACATTTTATCAAAATAAATGGTCTTATTTTAAATAATTTGCAATGGTCTTGTAAAAATTCAACACCAAGTTATCCTTGTTCCATCTTCCCAATGAAACTTTAATCTTGGCCTGCTCCATCAAATTACAGCTGCACCATAAGTTGACTGCAACAACAGAGCAATTCATAATTTAAGGGTGTATAGCTTTTTATCTTCTTGCAAATATTTAATGAGCAATCCTTTCCAATTTAAGCAATTAATGTGTTTTAACAGCATTTCTGTTCCTCTTCAGTGTTTTATTGACTGATTTGGGAATATGTGTAATAATATGACAGTGGTAAATTTCAGTGAAATTACCAATCCTAGCATTTTCTTCCAGAAATCAGTTCTGCATTATCTTCTAATCAGAAATGCTTATGAGACCTGTTTTCATGAAAATAAATTTTTAGAGAAAACCTTGTTTTGTGCCAAAGCTTTTCTTCACTATGACAATTTGAGGTTCCTGGGTGCACATTGTGATGAGTTTTGATGGAGCAGGTTGCATGCTTAGTTTGACTCACCCTTAAGGTCATCCCAGTCACCATGGTGATGGTCATCCAGCCTGCCTTGCCTAGTCTAGGCACTGGTCTGGTCCAATCCAGCCTCAACACAGTTTGCAAAGGTCAATTTTGTCTGCGGAAAACAAGATGTTTAGACTGATACCAATTAGTTATGTTCATCCATTTTTGATTACTATCGATGTCAAAGAGAGATTCATAAAGTTTTCAAAATACCTGGAAGGCCTATGTGAGCATTTTTTGCATACTTCAAGCCATAAAGCGATAAAAAAAAAACTAGCCAAAATTGAAAACAATTCAAAATTTAATCCAACAGTTAAACTTTTGATTTAAAACAGGTAACATTTCCAATATTTTGATAAAAGGGGAAATCAATTCTTGGAACTTAGTATACTCTTGTAATGTACGATGATGTGTTTTCTCATTTTTCTATTTTCAATATTGCATTTCATAAAAGAGGTTTTTAATTTTTTACAGGATTCTGGATTGTGCGTACATGTACAGCCCATCCACTAGCTACGGGCCCGGTTCCTATAAGGGAACAAAATCCACCTTTAAATTATTTGACTTACAAAACTAGTTGGCGACATTAATAACATGCAGATATGTCATAGAAAGAGGGCAGGGTTTTGAATTTTTGAGGGATGTTTGGGAGTACAATGACGATGAAAACGACAAAATCCAACATGAAAATATAGATGGCCATCACCGCGCGATGAACCGTGAATGCGCAAGATGCGCAAGATGCGCTGAGTCGCACAGCACCAACCATAAACGGCGTGGGAAAATCATCATTTCTACCCAGAGAAACTACTACATAAAAAAGGCATCATTAGGCCAAAAAAAAAAAATATTCGGTCTCTGGTCAGACCAAAGTTCCGGAATTGACGCGGCCACACGTTTTTTTTGGGGGGGGGGGGGGCTTTTATTTCTTTTTCTTCTAGCTTGGATTGTACAGACAAGGTGGGGTACTATTTTGCTTTTTGGGTGTCCTCATGTACATTGGTGTCCTCCATAATTTGCCTTGGTGCTTTCGATCACTTGCCTTGGTGCAATTTCCCATTCCTTGGTGCTCTTTGGTAAAAAAAATTGAGGTGCGGAAATAGAGGGCGCTGTTGGAGCTACCGCGGAACATTTTGGAAAAAAAAAAGATCGACGTGCATGATTAAAATTGACGCGCGCGCTGACCAGAGACCGACTTTTTTTTTTTTTGGCCTTATCTTGAGGATTTTGTTCCCTATAGGTAACCGGGCCTGTACATACACGATCACCCTTAATCCTAACAGAACTCAACCCATCAAAGCCCAACAGCATGTATTGTTGGAATCTGTCTGGATGGGTACAGTACCCGGCCCCTAAACTGAATATGTGTGTGCAGTTTCCCATATGGTGTTGGAATTTGCCAGGATGGGTATATGGTTCCTAGTAACTCATGCTAGGGAGTTAGGGTTATATCTAGTGTGTTGCTAGTTGGAGTATAAGGCCAAATAGACCCCCCCCCCCAAAAAAAAATGTTTAGTGCCCCCCCCCCCCCCCCCCCCCGATTCCTTTTTGGAGGCCCCCTCTTTTTTAACAAAAAAAGGCAGGACGCTAAAAAGAAAACCTTTATTTTGGCCTAACTATGGGGGCGGGGGGGGGGGTGTGAGAGGAGATGCTGAGCTCACAAACCCCTCCCTTTTTTTCTTACACCACGCCCCGCCCCCGGCCCTCCCAAGCCTCACACGTGTACGAACTAACGAAGTATGCGCTTGAGCTGTTCATTTGTTCAGTGAGCATTATCGTGGAAATTTGTTCTTTATTCATTCACAAAGTGATTTCCAGTTCGATTCACTACTCCACTAACCTGGTTGGCAGAACATTTATCTGTATCAACGCATCACTATTTGAACATCAAAAGGTCATTTTAAGCGTGAAATTTTGTCTCAAACATCAACATCGAAAATACAAATCTTCCCGCGTCTCGCCGAAATCAAAATGGCCGACTTTCAGTTTGGTACTTTCGCTGGTAGCAGGCAGAAAACACATAATTCTATCGAGTTTATGAATACCAGCGAAACACGTGGATTCGAGAAACTCGAGACTTCTGCGCGCGCGCGGTGTCGATAGCCTTGATTAATATTCAGATACAAAGACAACAGTGAAAGCAAAAAATCACGCTTGAAGAAAGATAATACAGAGATTAATATTCCCATATTAATTAAAAAACCTTTATTATGTTAATTAAGATAGGATCGATGCAAACTCTAGTGACTAATATTTTAACATTTATATTCTAAAAATATATTCATATTATCTGTAAAACGTCATCCTTTCAATATCCTAGAAACATTAGTTAATAATTAATGGCATAGTTAAATTGTCAGTTGCTCTGACATGTCTAGTCTGTGCATGCACATCATTTAGTTGATTTTGAAATCTAATCATGCCATTTCCTACCTCCATCCATTGATATCATTTTCGCACTGCATTAAGACAAGTTTTCCCAAAGATTAAAACACAGAATATTTTCAAGTCCCTAATTATCAAGTTAAATTTTTTGAGAACAAAATGTTGAGTTAAAATATAAATTTGACTAAAATTTATCCGAACGTAAGTGGACTTTGGGAGCACAAACACAAGACATTCTTGTGGAGAACATAACGTGAGAAATAAATGGCCCATTGAGTCGAATTTTTTTCGAAATGTCTAATTCAAAACAGCGGGAAATATTTGGTTGTAACAAAACATTCGGTTGATATTTGCTTCTGAAAATTAATAGACTTATTTCAGACATCATTTAGGACCAATTGACGGGCAATGTTTCGAGTCAATACAAAAGGTATTACTTCGTCTGGAAATGAGTGTGTGTTTTTTTAACTAAATTCATGTTGAGTTTAATTGAATCCGAACGTAAGTCGACTTTCGGAGAACAATAACAACATTCGTGTGCAGAACATAACTCAAGAAATAAATGGCCTATTGAGTAGACATTTTGTCTAAATGTTTCAAATAAAAAAGCAATAACCAGCAAGAATTTCAATTCACTGGAACATTTATTTCTGGAGTTATTGTCCGCCAAACGAACGCGTTGTTTTTGTTCCATAAAGTTGACTTACGAGCGGATTTTATTTTTCGTACTGAACACTTTTGTTATATTCTTTGTATTGTTTGATAATTTCTATCAATAGTCAACAGAGTTAGGCATCATATTGTTACTAATCACAAGAGTGAAGTCAACCGTTATTTCTTGAGTTACCGGCTGGAAACGAATGTGCTGTTTTTTATGACACAAAATTCTATGTTCACAATTCTTTTTTAAGAGCGTGGTGACCACTATTAGTGTAGCGCGCCCTCTTTTGAAAGAACATGCCATGCAGTTGGCCCGGGTATACAAAACAGCGGGAAATATTTGTTTCAAAGGATTAGGTTGACATGAGGTTCTGCAAATTAATAGACTTATTTCAGACATCAGGACCAATTGACAGACAAAGTTTCCAGTGGATACAATAGGTATTTCTAGGGTTATCGTCTGGAAAATGAGTGTGTTGTTTTTGCCGTCTGTTGAATGACATAACAGCGCCCTCTATTGACAATATAAAAACGACTTAACTTTTAGAAAGAGCGCCTTTTTTTTCTGGCCAAATGATTCTGCCTGTTTCAACAGCGACCTCTATTGAGCCAGGATCAACAGGCCGTTCCTAAAAAACGTATATTCAAAGTGTTGACTCTTTGTGGAGTTACTGTGCGGAATTGTTTTTGGTTATTTGTCTAATTAAGAATGACTTCATCACGACAGTTATTTTCAAAGGTCAATGCGTTTTTTAAACCCTTTTTTTCACATGTTATTGAGCTGTTTTCTATCGCTATTCATTGTAATCTTTTACCTGGACATTTGCATATTTCTTTCACATCATCTAAATTATTAAATTTGATTTATTTAAAAACAAGCTGGCATTTCTTTACAAAAATATCGTGCGGACAACGATTCGACTCATTCATTGAAAATTAACTTCACCAGTGTTAACTAACGGCAGGTTTTATTTCGTCAAATAATCAGACTTATTAATCATATATGTCTCATTGGCTTCGTCTTTCCTCTGAAACTTAAACATATTATTTTAGACGTTTATTTCCAAAATGTTATAATTTATATCAAATTGATAAAGTAAAAAAAGTTGCAGGGGTATAATAATAATACCGGAGTCTTATATAGCGCACGTATCTACCAACAATTAGGTACTCAAGGCGCTTGTAATAATGTCTATTATTAAAAACAGGTGGATGAAGTTTATGAGAAATATGAGACCCATTATGTAGCACCTTTATAAGGGTTTACAAGGTGCTGCGGCGCATATTGCAGCCACTGCCAGAAACACCGGGGCAAACCCCTTCTCTTAGCGATAAGTGTTACTGGGCTCTTTAACGTGCATTACATAACACACGGGACCTATGGCTTTATATTTTACGCCCCCGTCCCAAAGCTTATGCAAGCTTATAGAATATACATGTAGTTGTTTTGTTCAATTAAATTGGCTTGAACACGACAGGTATTTATGAAATGAATTTATTGTCCTTTTAATATTCCAAATTTCTTGGACATCCCCCATTCCCCACTCCAAAGTAATATTTTATTTGCCATATTATATTCTATTGTTATAAGATTGATCGCCTCGTATCCCGTGGCAAACCAATATTTAATTTACGGGCTAAATTGGCCGTAATTTCACTTTCGTCTTTCATACTATACAACTGACCTGCTCGTTAAAACCAAATTTTTTTTCAAAAACGATAGTGCTAGTTGCTCCCAACAAAAGGAGATAATATTCTTCCATTAAGGGATATACAGTCGAGTCTCGTTATAACAAACTCGTTAGAACCTAGCCAAATTGTTTGAGGAACATCAGTCCCATTCATTGTACACATAAAATATGTACAGTCGGGACCAAGGCTTTATGTTTGTTATAACCAGAATTTTGTATTAACAGAGTTTGTACTAACGAGAGTCGACTGTATACGGCTTTAAATGTCAGCCAATTAATTTTGTTGGGGTTTAATCTTGATGAAAAGCATGCAAAGCACGCCTGATAATGATCGTTCGACAGTTTTCGTTTTACTCACAACTCCAGCGTTAG